CGGGCCCCGGCCCCCGGCCCCCGCTGCGGCTGCGCTTGCCTCAGAGCTCAGCCACTCCAGCAGGTTGCGCTCCGCGCTGGGATCTGGTTTTCCTTCGCCCGTGGAGCTGCAGGCGCAGCAGCCACTACCACCCGGAGCACCGGAGCTGGAGTCCTATGACCGGCGGTCAAAAGGGAGGAGCTGGAGGCGCAAGCTGCCCCCTTCGGCTTCACGCGCTGCAACAACCCAGCCGAACCCGCCTCGTCACTGTCGCGGTCTCCGACTCGGCGCCGCGGTGGGGGCTGCCGAAGTTGCCACAGTTCCTCCTGGCGGAGATGAAGAACTGCGGAGCCCTCGCGGGTGGGCTTTTTCCCCAGGGGAACTCTAAGCAGGCGCCACGGAGCGCGCCCAGCCCCTCCCCCGAAAACAGTCGGGATTTGGTCTGGCAACTGGTTTGGGAGTGGCGCATAGGGACCTGCGGGGGATAATGGCTGAGTCTGGGCTCACCACCTGTACCTTCTGTCTGCTCTCTCCCGTGGGCCCTCTGACTGTGTACACGTTTGGCGATGCAGGGAGAGGGCGCTGAGGCAGCGAGTGCAGAAAAAGAGCCGGCGCAAGCTACGGTGGGGGTCTGGGGAGCCTGTTTACAAACCTTCCGGTTCTGCAGGGCAAATGCTGCCACATAGGGGAAATTGTTAATCGTGTTTTTTTTTTTTTTTCCCCTTAGGTGACTTTCTTGATGGTTTTATCAAAAGCCTTACTCTGCTTTCATGGTCACATTTTGACCTCTCTCACTGTTCCCCTGGGACCCCCCCCGCACCCGAACACCATTCCCTGGAGAGAAAAGGCTGGGCTTTGTTTTCGAGATATGGACAAGAATTCCTCCTCCCTCTCTGTGACCCCCCCCCCCTTCCGTACCCGAGCCTTCCCAATAAAGATTTCCCAGGTTGTCTCATTTCCATCCAGGAATGCTATTTATAACTAAGATGCAAAGTCAGGAAATCAGATGACAGAATCTCTGATTTATAAAGCTCCGGCTTGCTCATACATACTAGGCCGCTCTCTCTGGGTTCCTACTTCTCAACAGGGGTCCCAGAGAAGGAAAGGGAAACTTTTTAGAGCAGCCCTCCCTCATTTCCTGGGAACCAATTCCAAAGTTCCAGAATCCTCTTCACTAGTCAGGATCTGCCCTCCTTGCTTCTTGTGCTCCCTCTCCCCTTGCACATCCCTAGCCCCTGCATTACTATGACCCCAGGAGCCTTCGCCCAGGGTCACCAAACTAACACCACAGTTCATTAGGAGAAAAGGTTTTATATACATGTTCTTCTGATCTCTTTACCTTGTGGTCCTTTGCAGAAGAAGAATATGAACAAGCAAGTAAATTTCAGCTCCTGACAGCTGAGATAGAAGGAAGGAAATTAACAAAGAAGTGTGCTGACCACTCCAGAAGTTGAACTGAAAGATTAAGAGGTAAACTGATGTCAAGACTGACATGATTCTCCAACTCTTCTGGGATTCACCTCAAGCCCAAAGCGGATCTGTCCGCTTTGACCGTTTTCATTACAGAGTCAGGACTTTTTCCTTCCACCCGGAGCATGTTACATTTAAAGCTAACATTAACATCACACATCTTAAAGAAAATAGAATTCCTTGAGTTTGGTCAGGCCTTGTGAATGAGGACATCCATAAACCATGTTGTGTTGGGAATGCCATGCCCCCATTTCTCCTCTGTGGTTTTTAAATATGCCTCAGCAGGAGCAGCCTTTAGTGGCTTTGAACTGTTGTTTCAAAGGCCTTTTTATTGATCACAGAAATCCCAGCATCCCTAGAAGTCCCAGTGACCCTAACAACAGGAAAATGTGCTCTGAGAAAGACCTTTAGCGCTCTCTATCTTAGTCTCTGTATAATTAGTTGGTCCTGTGGGATGGGGCTTTTACCGTGTTCCATTAAAAAATAAAGCAAGACATATGTTCTGTCAAAGCTTTGCAGTATCACACCCATTAACAGTAACAAGAGTTCATCTCAACAAGTTCATAAATCTTCTTAGCTAACTAAATACTTCAATCTCCTCCTTTAAGTGCATTTCATGAGTGGGGATTTTGTGTCAACCTGTTAGGCTAAGGTCACCTTCATAGAACTGGACCAGCAAATTTCTGTAGTGGTGATGAAGGCACCCTGTGTCTATGTATGTGCTCAGTGTTGGGATATTGCAATAGGACCTATGCTCAGAGGAAGCAACAGTGAAACTTGGTTTACCCGATGCCATTCCCCAAGTCTGCCCTGCCCTTCTGCATGGCCTCCCTCCTGGTTTCTCCAGGAGCCAGGATCTTCTTTGTTCATCCCTTTGCCTCTTCTTCCTGACGACTAAGTATCGGAGAGCTTCAGGGCTCAGCCCTCAGCCCTCTTCTCTTCTAGTCACACTCATTCCTATGTATTCTCATCCAGGCTCATGGCTTTAACTACTATCTATACATGAATGATTCTCAAATGTGCATCTCCAGCCAGCACCAGCCTCTCCTTTGGACCCCAGGCTTATATTCCCAACTATTTTTTAGGTGTGTGAAATGTAATATGGCCATATCAACAAAATTAAAAACATTGTACTTCAAAGGACACCATAGGAAATGAAAAGACAACCCACAGAATGGGAAAAAAGTTTGCAAACCATATATCTGAGACTTGTATCTGTTAAAAACTATTATAATTCAATAGTAAAAGACAGCCCCATTTAAAAATGGGCAAAGGCTCTGAGTAAACAATTCTCCAAAAAAGATATACAAGCAGCCAATAAACACATGAAAAGATGCTCCACATCATTAGCCATCTGGGAAATGCAGATCAAAACTACAATAAGATATCACTTCACACCCACTAGGATGGCTAAAATCAAAAAGACACAATAAATGTCCACAAGGAAGTGGAGAAATTAGAACCCTCATTACTGCTGGTAGGAATATGAAATGGTTCTTCAGACAATCAAACATAAAGTGACCATATGATGCAGCAATTCTACTCCTAGGACATATGCAAGAGAAATGAAAATATCTGTCTGCATACTAAGTTGTGCACAAATGTTCATAGCATTGTTCATAATAACCAAAAAAGTAAAAACAGCCCAAATATCTATCAACTGATGAATGAATAAATAAAATGTGGTATATTTATACACTGGAATATTATTCAGCAATAAAGAGAAATGAAGTACTGATGCATGCTACAGCATGGATGAACCTTGAAAACATTACACTAAGTGACAGAAGCCAATCACAAAGGACCACATAATATCTTATAATGCCATTTTGTGAAATGTCCAGAATAGGCAAATCTATAAAGACAAAGTAGATTAGTGGTTGCCCAGGACTAGGGAGAAATGAAGGATTAACAAGCCATGGCTAAAGGTATAAGGTTTATTTTAGAGATAATGAAAATGTTCTAAAATTGATTGTGATAACCAAAAAAAAAAAGGAAAGAAAAAATTGTGGTAATGAATGAAAAACTCTCACAAATAGTCACAACATACTAAAAGTCATTGAATTGCACACTATAAAAGGGCAAATCATATGGTATATGAATTGTATCTTCATAAAGCTTTTTCCAAAGCTTTGTTAATGATCATGAAAAAAGTTATAACATGATCAAACAAGGACTTTCGATTTTTTCTTCCTCCCAAACTTTCTTCCTGCTGCCTTCTAAGGAGAGGGCACCATCCTTCACCAGATATTCTAGCCAGATAACCCAGGGTTATCCCTGACTTGCTTTCCTGATACCCCCAATTCCAAGTCATCAAGCCCTGTCAGTATACCTCAAAGAAAAATACCAAACCAACCACTTCTCACCAACCCTCACTATTCCCATCTTCCTCTAATCCATCATTGTCTCTTCCCTGGGCTACAGCCCTAGACCCCCATTATTCTCTCTGCCTCTACTCTTGCCCTTTACAAATTAGTTACACACGCTCTCACACGGAGCGGCCATAGTCTGCATTTTAAAAGATGTATCAGATCACGTTCTCTTGCTCAAAAATCCTTCTGCGCTTTTCCATCACATTTTGAAAAAATCCAAACATCTTACAAGGCCCACCTTCCCACCTTTCTCTCTTCCTGCTCTCCCCGTTGCTCGCTCCAGATCAGCTTTCTTGCTAGTCCTCAAACATTGCGAGCTCATACTATCCTCATGGTCTTTGCATTTGCTGCTTCCTCTACCTAGAACATTCTTTCCATAATGTTTGTATGGTTCACCTTTTACATGACTCAAATCTCTGCTCAAACGTCAGCTCTTCCGGGAGACTCTGCCTAAAGAAGCTTCACCCCCATCGCTCTCTATCTCCTTATCCTGCTTTATTTTTAAAAATACTTATTACTATCTGAAATAATGATTTATTTGTTGGCATTTATTCTGTCTTCCACAATATAATGCATGTTCCACAAGAGTAGGATTTTGTCTTTCTTGTTCACCCCTCCATCTCTCCACCTAGAACAGTATCTGGCACTCTTTAAGAGCTCAATAAATATTTGTTGCATGAATAGATGGATGCTCTCCCAGGAAGCAGCATGGAGAACTGACACTTCTCATTGGCCGTCATCAAGGCAACAGTCAGACTGCCTTGTCCCCCTGGTCCCCAGAGCTGCTCCATGGCTGACTCTATGTGGGGCAATGAACCCCACAGAGGAAGAGCGCGAAGGACTCCTTTTCAGTATCCAAACTAGATTCATAAGCCAGAGGCAGCTCCAAGGCTGAGAGACTCTCCATCTCATTTAATGTCCCCTAATCCCTCCCATCTCCCGAAGCCACTCTCCTTTGTCCAAACAGCCTTTCAACTACCTTCACATCGTGGACACACAACAAGTTTCCTTGTAAAACTGGAGAAAATGAAAGGATAATGCTGTTGTGGATCAGATTGTGGCCCCCCCACAAAAGATATGTTGAAGTCCTATAACTCCCAGTACCTGTGAATGGGCCCTACTTGGAAAGTGGGTCTTTGCACATGTAATCCAGTTGAGCTGAGATCATTAGTGGACCCTAATTCATTATGACTGGTATTCTTATAGGAAGAGGAAGACACCCTGTGAAGACAGAGACAGAGAGAGAAAACATCATATGACAACTAAGGCAGCCATTGAAGTGCTGCAGCTGCAAACCAAGGAATGCTTAGGCTACCAAAAGCTGGGAAGAAGTAAGGAAAGATCTTCCCTTAGAAGCTTTGGTGGAAGTATGGCCCTGCGAACACTTCGATTTCAGACTTCTAACCTCCGGAACTGTGAGAGACTAAATTTCTGTTATTTTGTTTTCCAGTTTTCATGGCAGCTCTAGGAAACTAACACAAGTGCCGGTTTGCTGGCAGGGCCTAGGAAAGCACAAAGATTCCCAAGGTTCCTTCACAAACATGGCAGCCCCGATGCTCTTGAAACTGTGTGAGCCCGACCTGGGTGGGTGTTTTCATTTCCTGAAATGCACATACAGTCATAAAGAGGGATTCGATGAATATATTCATACACGTATTTCTGTTTTTATCTGAATATATGAAAAATGTATTCTCTACTCCAATTACTTCAATCAACTTCAATGACTCCCAAATTAGAGAGACACATATTTTGCTAAGTTAACTGCTGTCCTTCTGTCTTGCAGCTTCAGACACTTTTTAGAACAAAGCTAGGTATAAATCAGTAGCAAGACAGAAAAATCTTTACAGATATAGGTAAAGGCATCTCATAATTCTTTGGCTGAAACTCTCCTAATACATAGCATCAATAATCTTGGATGAGCTTTGAGTTTCTATAAGAACCAAGGTGTGCTCATATTTAGGTTTTGTTAAGTGTCATGTAAGCACACATGTTGTCTTTTCCTATAGAACATGGAAAAGCAGACATATTATCCTCAAAGAGGCCTTAGAAGCTGGCCTCACTCCCACCCTGACCAGAATGATAATGGCTCCATTTACTAAGTATTAACTGTGTGGGGTTTCTGCTCTAAGTGCTTCCGTGGATTTATTCCTCAGAATAACCCAATTAGGTAGGTGGGGGTTTTACACTATTTCACAGATATGGAAACAGAACCATTTGCCAAATGAGTGCCTGAACCAAGCACCAACCTCAGGCAGTATGACTGCACAATCTGTGCACTTAACTGTTAAGCTCTACTGCTTCTACTGAGATGAAGCCTGTGAATCCAGTCTCCTTGTTGAAGTCTATGGTACCCCAGTAAAGAACACCCCTGTTCCCTGTAAGAGTTCTACCAACTGAAAAATGAGTGAGCAGGAGGCCAAATATCACTTTTATGAAATAGAGACCATGTTGGAAGAGCATAGTCTAATGCGAAAGCCAAAAGGGACTGGCCATCTGCCCTCCCTCCAGGCTGGACCTTGGCACAGCCATCTGTTCCCAAGGATCTTGATGAAGAGAGAAAGTGAAAGAAAACTGAGAAATAAGGGCCAATGGCTGTCTCCCTCTTCTATAAGTAGTGGCGAGAGTCAGGAGTGTGGTAAAGGGCCAGGAGCGTTTAAGGAAAAACCTCACCATGAAAACCAAAAGAGTGGGGAAGAGATGATCCCCTTGGTCAACGTTCGAACCTTCCTCCATGAAAGGACTCACCCAGTCTTCTTTTTTAGGCCTTAAATGATCCCTTACTCCTAGTAAAAGTCCCACATGCTCAATACTGTTATCACTTTGCAGGAAAATTAGGAGGAAGGCATCCTTTTATACTTACTCACACTGAGTTAGGAAAGATGGAGCATTTCTCATTAAAGTACAGCTTCCATGAGGAGGCCTGTTGACCAAAAGCAATGAATATCTACTGGAGGAATTTCAGGCCACAGGATGGCATAGTGGGAGAGAGGTTTTTGAATAGGGAGAGCCTGCTCTCTCTACTTTAGGCAACAACCTATCATGTCAATTCATGAGATTGGCTCTGCCCACACAAAACAGAAATGGTCACTTCTCTAGACTCCTTTCTGGAGTCACAGGCCACAGAAATTTTCATCACCAACAAAGTAACATTAAACCCTCCCATATTTTTTAGTGGTTCCCTGGATCTCCTCCTACTAGTCATCCCAGTTCATTTTATTACCTGTATCAGTGAGGATTCTATCTGACTTCATATAACAGGAAAACTCCCCCAAAATAACAATTTAAATAAGAGATATTTAATACTCTCTTGGGTATAAGAACTAATTCTAGAGTTGGGTAGTCCAGATTTAATTTGGTAGCTCTATGAAATCCTCAGGGATCCAGGTTCCTTCCCGACCTCTGCTCCACCATCACTAGAATGTAGTTCTTGTCTTCATGGTTCAGTATGGCTGCTGGTACCCCAGCCATTATATCCCCATTCCAGACAGCAAACATGGAAGAGAATGAAGAGAAGAGCATGCCCAGGAGCCCTATGTATCACTTCCACTTACATTTGGGCAGAACTTAGTCACATGGCCACTCCCTATGTATGTTAGCTATTGCTGCATAACTAACAACAACAAAATTTCGGAGGCATATAACACTAAGCATTTATTTTCACATATCCGCTGGTTGGCTAGGATTCAGCCAATCCAGACCTGGCTATGGTGGCTAGGCTGATTCCACTTCTCACAGCAGATCTGTGTGCTAGTGATTATGTGTCCCACATATCTTTCATCTTCCTTGGACCAGTAGGCTAACCAGGATGAGTTCTTCTCATGGCACAAAGAGGCACAAATGAGCAAGTGGAACTAGACCAGGTCTCTATGATGTAGACTCAAAAGTGGCACACTGGTGCTTCTACTCACATGCTATTAAAGGGCAAGAAATACAGTCCACCCACAATGAGGACGTAGCCTGGGTATGATTCGGGGTGTCGTCAATCTACCACACTCAGCTGCAAGGGACCTGGGAAATGTCACATTGCGGCTAGGTGACAAGTCCAGTCAAAGTCAGAGATGTTACTAAGGCAGGAAGAGAAATTCAGTCTCTACCACACTCCCTCACATTGTACCAACTTTGCAAAATACCGATACTAGCCTAGAGCAAGTTCATTGTAATTCTTACCCTCACCTCGAAACTCATGGTGTGTAGAACTATGAAGCACTCTCAAGAAGACAAGAGAGGGGTTGCACATCGAGAACATCATAGGCCAGCACTTCGTAGTGCTCTTCACTTTTGAGCAGGTGGGGAAGAGTAATTTTTTTTTTTTTTTGTAATATGGTCTATCTCAAAGCCCTCAGCCAAGAAAGATCAAATCACGCAACCTTAAAGGTAGAGCTCAAAGGTTTCCCTGTGTATGTCTCCCCTACACCAGCATAGGATGGAGATGGCAGGCAGTCTGGAGGCAGATGGCACAAATGAACATCCTTCAGCAATAAGTGCAGAATTCCTTAGCCTCTGCTTTCTGAGTAAAGGCAGTAGGAACCAAGTAATGGCATAAAAATATCCAGGCTGAGACCCCTGAGCCTAACCCAAGGCCCTACCTGCCCCAGCACCTCCTCTGGACTCTGAGACTTTGCCAAGATCCAGAAACTAACATGGCAGCCCCTAGCAGAGCAAGAGTCTCCAGGATCATGCTCCAATATCACTGCCATGTCCTTTCATATTGGGTGGTGTCATCTCCGTGCTGATTGCTTAAATTTTAAATACAACCCCTGGTAGCCCCAGTCACAGGAGTCAAAAAAGAGATTACCTGCCAAAGGACCCCTGTATTTCCAGATTTATAACCTGGTGTCTTGGAGTTCACTTCCAACATTTTGAAAAGGCTGGTTTCTTGCAAAATCAAACCATTGTTCTTGCTTCAAGTCTCTTTCCACTCAAATTCATCCTTGATGCTGAGACCAGGTCAATATTTCAAAAGCACAGATCTGGCTCTAACAGCAAATATCCAATATTTATCTGCAATGTTAAATTTTCATATACAGATTTTAATTTAATCCTCACAGTAACTGTGTGAGAGGGGTATAATTGTTCCAGTTTTACAAGCAAGAAAATTGAGAGTGTGTTAATAAGGGAAA